AAATCACATACAAAAAAACCCCAAAAACCCAAACCCACCACACCAACCAAACAAAAAAATCTTAAAAGCACAAAACACTGAAAACCAACCAAACCAACCCTTACAGCAATCTTTACAGAAAAAATATTTTAAAAAAGGATCTGAACTTCTAGGCAAAGAAACATTTATTTCTTCATAAAAAAAAAAAATAAATCACAATTGGGTAATTTCTGTACAAACCAGAAAGTCTACTAGTCTAATATCCCATAGCTACTTGTCTTCATCAACCAAATAAAGACATTTTTCTTGAAGGGTATCATCCATTTCACTCCTTCCCTTTTTCTTACCAAGATACTGCCACCTGTACATTAATAAGAATTACACTTACCTGTGATACCCTCTGCCAGTAGATCAGTCATTTTGCAGCAGAGTGACAGTAATTTAGTAGTGTAATCATCTAAAAGCATTATCTAAACATTTTGAAAAAACACACAAGTATTTAGGTAAGTTAATCAGCTATAGCAAACCCATGTTATTGCCTTAACTTGCTGTGGAAATTTGAAGCTGAAATCTATTTCATTACTCTATATCTTTTCGTTACCTGCATATAGCAACACTGCAGGAGAAAATTAGTCTCCAGCAGCATTAGAAGGCAGCTCCCTACATGCAGGATATCCAAAGATGAGCTTCATCTTAACTAAGTAGCTTTTCCCCCCAACTCATCCTAAAAAATACTTTGGAACTTTCACTTGGGCACAAGTCTTTTGAATTCCTGCTAATATACACAATGGCCTGCTTAAATATACCTGTACTTATTCTAAAACCGTTTTATAGCTTAAGCAGCTCAAACAGGTGAATCCACACGTACTGGAGTGCCATATAATTTATGAAAGTAATAAAGTATAAGCCTTTGAAAAGAAAAGTGGAGATAAACAAAAACAGTTCCTAATTTTTTTTAAAAACTAAAAAAAAAAATAAGAGACAACTAACCATTTGTTCTCCCTATACTAGGCTTTAGATTTCTCAAGATGTATTATATGGTGTTCAGTTACCAAACCCAAAATCCATCACTTGGATAGAAAACAATCTTAAGTGAAAATACCAGCCATTAAGTTTATTTATTTGTTCTCTACTCAGTGATACAGATTTCTTGTTCAAGCGATGACAACATTCTTACAAAAATAACAAAACTGTACCTTCCATTCTTCCTCTTTCGTGAAGTCATCAAACACTGCTGATTTTAGCTCTGTAAGAAGAAACAATTTCTCAGTTAGAGGAATCAAATTGTTACTAAAAAAAGAAAAAAATAATTCACTCATTTAGATTCATATGTTTATAGAGGCCTAAAAAGAATAATAAATATGTCCACAGAATTCTAGACCACAAACTGCCCCTGCCTGTTTCTAGGTCTGTACACAAGGTGTAATAACCAATCTTTAGCCTCGTGAAAATTTTATTAACCTCCATATTTTTGGAGAACATTCTTGCCAATTAATTAGTCCTTAGCATTACACAGAGTTCTTTTTAATAAGCTGAATGCCCAATAATCTTGTCCAAAAGCTCAAATATATTTTTTCTACAAGACTGTATTTTGTTTGCCTATAAAATAAACCAGACCATACAAATGCGTAATTCAGTTGCCTTGAACCTCATTTCTGTAATTAAAAAATTTAAGTCCATTTTTTCCCATGATAAAAAGTAACTTTATTCCAAGCTATCAGTGTACTAACACAGTGTACTTGCCCGTGTAACATTCCAACAATTTGTTTTGGACTCAACCTGCAGCTGCCTCACCCAAATAACTGACCTAGACTGCTTTAAAAGCTCTTAAAATCATCTCACTGCTCTCCAGCAAGCATTCTGAACACACCAAAAACCATCACAAGCCCAGGAATGATTAGTACTCCGTTTTTGTCCAAGTTTTCATTTTCTTCTCACAAATTTCATATCAATCACACATCCTGAGTACCTTTTCTACTTTTGTCTTCTTTGAATTAGTCTAGAAAAGCATTTTTTCTTCTACCTTTACTTCCTGATCTAGATAAGAACTATACACAAGGCCGCAGGAACTACAGACTGCTAAATCCTTATGTGAAAAAATAAACAAACAAACAAACAAACAAGAAAGCCACACCTTGGCAAAGTCAGTGACCCGTTTATAACACGCTTCCTGAAGAAAGGACTGTAAACAATTGTTACAAAAAATAAAGTTGCAGAAGTGCCAAAATTAACCTAGCTATCTGTGACTAGGCTAGAACCCATTATACAAGCCTAGAACAGAATTCCTTGTGGAAAAACTTTATTTACAGATAGACACGGAGAGCAGCTGTATATAGTTAATGTCAGGATTTTATCCACAGGAACTACTGTCTCCTAAATACAGGTGCTTCCCCTACCCCCATAATTGTGAGCTGACAACAAACTGGGTTAATTAACTCTCCCACACACTTCTGCTTCAATTCAGACTAAAACTGCACCTAACGGAAGGGACTATCACAATGGCATAAAGGGGTTTTTAACAGCACCATGACATAGCACAGGTACAACTCCCCTTGTACACACACCAGAGGTACTTCTGTACCTATTCACACATTGACACAAACTGCCACATAAACCACCAACACCACTGACATACTATTTTCAGACAAATCAATCTTAAAAAAAAGAGCACCAACATGTTTGCTGACCCATTAAGAAGCAGCAGTTTATGGCTTTCAATAAACAGAGTGCCAGACTATGCATGAAACTTAGTTCATCAATTTTCATTGTTGTTGAAATGGAAAGACAAGAGTAACTAATTATCTAACAAAGCATTCTTTTCATGAGATACCTCAACTAAACTAAAATATGTTTTATTATTTACATTGCTTTACCATCACTCTAATCTTCATTCCTCACAGTCTTGTCCACACTGACAACACCATTTTCAAAAGTCCTTACAGGCCCTGATAACACCATAATGCTTTGATCACATTCCTTCCTTGAGATGTCCAAGTCTTCTACAAAATATCTCAGGACAAAACAGTGGCTTTACAGTCAAAGGCACACATAACCTAACAGACCAAGATAGGAAAAGCAAAGCAGCAAAAGTAAGGATTTCTAAAGGTCAAGTTGTAAACAAAGGTATCTAATTCATACAAGCAGGGTATAGGTGCCAGCAATTGAGGACTGAACATCAGAGACAGTCTTTCCTCTTTCTCTATATCCTCTTCCAGTGACACAAGCAACCAGATCAGAGCTTTCAGGTGGAACCAGAGGAGGAACAGAAAGAAGACAGCAGCAAGACCTTCCCATTTCAGTGACAGTCACTAGGCTGGCTGAACAGCTCATGGAGTCACAACCTCAGTACAATTAAGCCCAGGGTGAGGTAGCTGCTAATGCTTTTTCTCACAGGTCTCACACTACCTGAAATACTATGAGCCCTTCTACTCCACCAGGGAAGGGAGCAGTTGCAATTTCCTTTTCTGTAACAAACACCAGTAGAACCTGCTCCTAAACATGGAGATAAAAATCTGCAGTTCATTTGTAAGACTACGTGGGAACACCTTCAACTTTTTCTACTGAAACCGTGAAGCCGAACACAAAGCGGGCAGTGCCGCTCCGTGACACACACCAGAGCCCCTCCTGAGGCCGGAGCGCTCTCCAAAACCGCCAGTTCGGATGCAACAGAGAAGTCCTGGAAGAGGTGGCTTCAGTTTAAGCTCTCCAAGAGCCGGCCCGGCGGGCTACAGCCGGCAGAGCTCACCCTTATCTCGGAATAAGGCGCGAGCGTCTCTATCCAGGCGCTGTCACCGCGGGCACCGCAAGGCGGGGCAGCGCCTCCCACCCCTGCGATGAGTCACCAGGTGTAGCAGCCGGGAAGAAGCCACCACCCACAGCCCCCGCCGCACACTCGGCTCCCCGCAGGACCGGCCGGGACCGACTCCGCTCGCCCTCCTCGGCTCCGACAACGGCGCGGCTCCGGCCGCGGCCCCGGACCCACCCCGGGCGGGCAGGGTACCCCCGACCCCATACGGCGAGATACGCGCGGCGGCGCCCCAGCGGCGGCGGCTTGCAGCCGGCCCGCGCACACCGAGCGGCCCCGGGGCGCTCCCGGCCCGGGGCGCGGGCAGCAGCCCCGCACTCCCTCCCGCACTCACTCACTCTGCCACACAGCGCCCTTCAGCCCCCGCACCGGCGGCGCCATCTTGCTGCCAATCCCTCCCGGCAGCACTCCCTTCCCCTCCCTCTTCAGGGACGGCGGGCGGAGCCGGGCGGCGGCGGAGGGCACTGCCTGCTCTTGGGCGGGGCGGACTCCTGCCGGCCGGGATCGGCCCCAAGGGGGCCGGGCCTCCTTCCTTTGCCACATTGGCGTCCGTAATTGCCCTTGGGGAAGCGCTAGGTAACCAGGGCTCGTCCCCTGAGGAAGGAGCCTCCTGCTGCTCACCTGTCAGCAGGTGAACCCGGGACACGGGGGCCGCTCCCGACCCCCCCGGCGGCTCCTGGGGCTGTGTGTGGAGCAGCGGAGGGAGCTGGAGACCGCAGAGCCGAGGGAGCGCCGCGAAATTTGCCGTGGTCCCGGGTCCCCTCGCGGTGAAAACCGGGGCTCCCTCATGAAAGCGGCCCCAGGGTTCCTTCTGACGTTCGTGTAAAGCCGCCAAGGAAAACACTGTCGGGTCATAGAACGATACGGTTTGTTGTCGCCTACAATCATCTGTCAGAAGTTACAGTTTGAAGACATAAAGTCGTGTTGTCAAAGGGGAACCAGCAGCTGTTACAGATACGAAAGAATATGAGGAAAATGTCTCTTTCCACAACGGCAGATACTGAGGAAAGGTGGTTCCCAGTCGGTATGGCAGTGTTCCATGCGAAGGGGAGTACCACGAGGGCATCATTCCCAACAGAAAAGAAGGTCTTTGTATGTAGACAAAAATACAGTAGGTAATGAGCTGAAGAGCAAATCTCAGATTTACATTGGGCTTAATTATTTCATTAATTTTGTATAACCCATACAGAGACTGCATCCTGTAACAGAAGGCGCTGTGTCGGCCCGTGTCCCCAGGGTTCGGTGGCCGGCTGGGCTCCAGCGGGGAGGAGCGCTCAGCCCAGCGCGACCTCCTCTGTCCCGGGGAGCGACCCTGCAGTGGCAGCACTGGCGAGAAACAGAGCTGCTCACAGCAGGGATCGGCCTCGGCTCATCCCCGTGGGAAGGCTGGAACAAAGCTCTGACAAGATGCGTGGTGCGAAAAGTAAATCATTAGCATTTACTGGACTGCTTCTCAACTGCCTAGAACTGGTGAGTGCAACTCATTTGCTTTAGAGCTGTTTTCAACGATGATACTGTACTCTGTAAATGTAAACTAAAAGTTAGGATGGAGACTATGGTGCAGATGCTTCCACATTGGTATTGAGTTACTATTACACTTTCGCACTGTTTGCAAGTGACTGAAAAATAAAAGGATTCAAGGCCTTTCAAAGTGTTTCAACAACTTGAAACGGGATCAATAGGAAGATTTAGAGAGGAAAATGAAAATGAAGAAGCAGTACAATCTGGACACCAGTAGCAAATCTCATTGGTTGCATACTCTTTCCATGCTTAAAGAATCTAAGCCAATACATCATATCAGTAAAATGTGTTAAAAAACATAGTATTTTAAGTTGTTGTTGTTGCAGTTAACATTCTTAGGTTTTTAATTTTCCAAATAAAATATTTCACATTGTATTTCTAATTTTTTTACATCTTCCTTTTCAGATCTTTTCAGCTAACACAGGTAAATCTTCAAAATGGTATTTTGGTTTTGCCTGCCCGTTTTTTAATGGGTCTGAAGAAAACACACACTTGTGATTTTTAATAAAATATTCTGTAAGTTCTAGCAGTTTTATAAACAAAAATTGTTTTCAAGTTTGATTCAGCTTTAAAAAATTATGTTGATATCTTTATAAATTTTAAACCTCATTTTCAGGAGTCTCAATTCTGTTGGGGACTTGCACAAATATTCAGACTTACACCTAGACACTGGTGTGAACCAGAGAGAAGACTCAGATGAACAAATCTGCTGTCCACTGCCTACATAACCGTGCTACAAATAGGATTCAAACTGCCCCACATTTGCACCAAATTGATTGTTACATATTTTAATAATAAAAATTAAAAATCACCAAAAGAAAATGCCACCACACTCCTTCCAAAAAAACCCCCAAAACCAAACAAAAAAACCACACCAGGAGAAGCACACTCTCCCCTGCACAAATATTTCCAGTGTTTTGTGCTTTATACTTTCCACAGTCTTGTATTTTGTGCCTCCAGGTCCTCGCACCTTAAAATGTGAATATTGAGTTTTTTGAAAGAAGAGGTTACAAGATTACAAGAAATGCTTTCAGCATTCATGCACTCTCTGGCAATAGTACATTCCTGCATATCCTGCACTCTCAAGAGCCTTAAATGCTTGATCATTGTGGACATGTTGCAGTATCTGGACACTTACTGTCATTCCTTTTATGATTAGCAAATCAACTGATCCTATTTATTTATGGAATAGTGTTGGCATTGCTTGTATAGTCACATACAGATTATACATGGTATTTTTTTAAAACAATTAGACTACAGCATATCAGGAATTTAGGAAAAATAGCCATCATCACAGCATGATATTATTAGAGTGAGCAGCAGTTATTACAGTAATTAAAGGATTACAAAAGTGAGCAAGGGAAATAGCACTCCAAATTCAGCAGAATCTCTATTGTCTGAAAATTAGGTCACATAGATGCTTGATAAGGCACTGAACAATATTCTTGTCAAGACTTAACTAAATTCAGGAATGACTGAAATGTTTTCTGATAATGATTTTTTTTTGGGGTTTTAGGTTTCTCTGTGTCTATATATGATGTGACATCGCAAAGCATTTCTCTCAGATGGCCCAAGTTTTCAGGAGCCTCTTCTTACAGGGTCACAGCTACAGCTGTGAATACTGTAGGCCATTCATTACTGGCTCATTTCAGTGATGTGACAATTAAAGCAACTCTAACTTCATTAATTCCCAATACTGTTTATGCTATACAAGCAGAAGCCATTGACAAGAATGGAATTATTCTTGCAGAAACACAGATTATGCAGTCAACAGGTTAGTAAGAGAAACTGGGAAGTATAATTTCCGTTGTCCTCTGTATGACTGGGATTTCATCCTTGATGTTTCATTGTACTGGTAGGGAAAATCTGCCATTCTTGTTGAAGCCTTTTGCCGGTTTTCCTACTGAGTTCAACATTAGCATGGTTAGCTGCTTTTCTCCTCTCATCTTGTTCCAAGTTTTCCTGATCTGGCATGCACAGCTTGCTCAGACTGCAGCTTTTTAAATCACCTACCCTTTCATTACAAAAGCAGACATGAAGCTATTTATACATTTTTCAGAACTGCTAAACAGTAATTTTGTTTCATTCACAAAAGGACTTGTAGCATGTAAGTCACTGATGGATATTGAAAGAATCTACATAAACAGAAATCCTTTTTTATTTCATCACTGAAATGTAACTGAAAAAATATTCTGTTGAAATTCTGTTTTTAAAATAATTTATCTGATAATTTTGAGAAATAGCCATTACTTTTCCAATTGAATGTTTCTTATGAAATTAATTATTACAATAAAATTTGAACATAAAAAAGTAGAGGTGTTTTATCATGGTAAGTGTAAACAAGTAGAAGTATTTATCCTGCTAAATGTAAACAAAATGTCTATTGCTAGCTTAGTTTTGGAAGAAGAGATATTAATGATTAATGCTGTGTAATTCATTTCCGATACACATCAGGTGCTATATATTCTCTACTTGACTGTTAGGCAAAAAACTCCATTAGACTTGCACATGCATTTCTTGCACAGAAATTTTTATGCACGGTTACTAAAGACAATATTTTAAAAGGAAAAAAAATATAGTGCAATGTCTTACTCAAAGATTGCGAAAGACCCACCTGCAAATGTTCCACAGGCACAGTCAGACAGAATATCTGTTACCATTTTTACAAGTGGGGCAACATAGGGTGTGTGACTGTAACTGATAAGGTGCTTGGAACTAAGAGAGCAGACATAACGCTCAGTTAAATAGCTGTGTAATACTTCCTGGGTCTCCCAAATCCCAGGTGAGCTGCCTTGCTTTGAGTAAGTTTGCCTCAAGGTGCATACTTTGTCCCAAATATTTTACATTCCTTTTCTTAATTTTATGTGGGATACACCTTCATTTTATCTTTTTTCCAGTGAGTGTATATCTGAGTATAGCGAGTCTTAAGTGTATCTGCTCTGAGCAGGGGGTTAGATGTCCTACATTTTGTCTGTGTGGAATGTTCACAGCACTCAGCATTTCACAGGGCTCAGCTCCCCAACTTAAGCATGTCTATCATTATTTCCATTTTAGCTCCAGACATACCTGTTATTGACCAAGCTTATTCAAAACTTAGCAACAGTATCACAGTGGAATGGAGAGCGGTACCTGGGGCTACTAGTTATATGCTGACTGCACAAGATGGAGATTCCTTCATTGAAACTGTAGTTAAAAATTCTCCAGGCACAGTGATGGGGCTGAAACCTGCCACCTTGTACAGAATCACTATCAGATCTATAAATTCAGGAGGAAAAAGCCAGCCTTCACCTTTCAGAAAAGCAAAAACAGGTGGACTTTAAAATTCTTATTTCAAATTCTGTAATGTTATTATAAAGCATTCATGCATGTACCAGTCCTGAATTATTATAGTCTTGCATTTTAAATTGTACTGATCACATTCTCCTTTCAGTTTTTGACAACTAGAATTCAGGCATTTGACTTAATGACCAGGACAAGAGTCTGAATTAATGGTTTACTTTATGATAGGACCTTAAGTTAAATATTCAATTGGGAGTTTTACTAGAATTTGTATGAATATATGTATTTTACTTTAACAAAAGGCATAACTTGAAGGAATAGAAGAAATGAAGAAACAACCAAAAGTATAAAATAATAAGACAATGTAAAACTTAAAGGACAGGAAATGCAGTATCTTCTTGGTGATTTTCATTCTTCAACACTCACAACCTTTCATACTTTCTGTATGAGTTACATTCATTTTACAAAACCTGTTATATAATAATTGATGTATCACAAATCACTTTCTGTATTTATTCTATCAAGCTGGCATCCATTTATTTTTCTGCTTTTGTTGTCACTGAATTTGTCTCTCAGAGTTGGTGATTGTTGTTTCTATATTCATTTCTGTATTCATTTCAAATTTGGCCCTTTCAAACTGTACTACTGAAAAACCAAAAGCTTGATTTTGTTCTTTCTCTACAGTCCTGGCTGCTCCAATTCTGTCTGTCAGTTCTCCGAGCTGTGACTCCATTGCACTGAGCTGGAAAGCTGTGTATATGGCAGCTGGATTCTCTGTGTCACTCATGAGGTCAGATGGTTTGGGCGGAATGCTGAGGGAGAACACCACCAATACCTCCTTGATATTTACAAATCTAGATCCAGGAACTCTCTATACTATCAAGGCTTATGCCTGGAATGCCAATGGGATGCCTGGAGATGATTTCACATATAACCAAAGAACAAGTAAGAAATTTTCTTTTCTGAAACCAAGTGAGCATTAAAAAAAACCCCCAAACCAAAACAGCAACAATATAGCAGGAAGTATTTATGTGTGTGTATGATTGTGTTATGTTTTTCAAAGGTACACTGGGTAGATTTCCAGATCACATCATTTTTGCCCCATCTCAAAGTTTATGAAACCTCAGATGACATGACTATGTTTAATAAATATTACTGAGGCAAAGATACCATTAACTGTCGCTAAAGTGGTACCCAGGACAGGTGTGGATAAAGATTACACAAGTTTAGACTGATTTGAGGATTTTTCTAACTGTGAGAAGCAAATATTCAAATAAGGCAGGGAGTTTCAGCAAAAAGCTTTGTGACAGTGTATAACTAGAACTATTTCTTTTAAAAAATGTCACTTTAACATGAATGAGGGTAAGGTCTGCACAAAAAATGTATTTAGTTTGCAAATTATGAAAAAGCTCATGTCTGTAGGCCATAATCTAAGTTGTATTAATGTGTTCCAAACTACTGATATACCGTAGGTCCTAATGCACCGGCGGATGTTAAAGTAGCTTTTAATAGTGGTGCTTTAAGAGTTTCTTGGATGCCAACAGAAGGAGCTCTAACTTACAGTGTCACAGCCTCCAGTGGACTCTTGAAACTGAAGTGTAACACATCCTCCTCCTCCTGCATGGTGCCATCCCTCCAGTGCAGCTCTGAATATGATGTTTCTGTCACAGCATACAATGATGCTGGATCCAGTAAACCTACTGATGCAGTAAGCTTAAAAACTAGTATGTGTCATTGATCCTTATATAGCTTATAGCATTTTAACATGTATTTCTTTAATTTCAAATGCAAATTAGTCCACTGCAATTCACAAGTAATTCTCAAATAGTTATTTCTGCTTTTGACCTTTGTGCATGAATGGTGCCATATTCTTTTCTATTTCAGGGATAAGAGCCTAAACTTTCTTCATATTTCTGTAAGAAAAACTTGCAATGGTGTATATATTGTTAGCTGAAACAGTAAGCCTCCATTTTCCTATTACTAGAAGTACATATTGTATAGTCAATTTTCTGAGTGTAAAACTAATGTAAGGAATAACAGGTCTGTGAGGAAATGGCATTAAGGATTGCCTCTGGGCTGAAAACTGTTCTAGGCCAAGTCTAGTTTTTACTTAGAAAGGAGGTCAACAAAACCACATTCAGTCAAAGTAGCACCACTAGACTAAATTAAGAAACCATCAACCATCACCAGAACAGAAGCTCGCTTGTTTCAGCTACAGCACCAGTGCCATGTCAGAGGTTATTGCTTCCTGACCTATTAGATAAACTGCCCATGTAATCAAAATCTAAACCATTTCTTTTATTACATGTTACTTTAAAGACACAACACTATTTACTTAGTTATTTGATGTAACCTGCCTCATTTTGACTTTTCATTGATAGGAGTTAGAGATCAATTCTGTGAGCAACTCTGAGGCGGATCTAATGGGATGAGAGAGCCTTACACGGTAGACAAGTATTAAGCTGTGGGCTGTGATCTCAGCCAACACTGCTCCAGCTGGATCATGTACATTTATTCTAATAGCAGCAAGCCACACTTCTTTGAACTAGAAAGAAAGTAAATGTTATTTAAGCAAAAGCCATAGAGTTTGCAGTTTAATGTGACATGATGCCACCAGAAAGGGAACCTAAGCAAAGGACAGTTCTACTCAGACACAGCCAGTGAGTTTCATACAAACACATAAAGGGTTTTCACACATAAAAGCTTTTGGATGCTAATTGTTATTCAAGCTAGTATTAAAATTACCATCCCAACTGACTATTTGTGAGCACACACTGTGCCAGTTCCTTTTGAAATACTGCCTAGTGTCACTGGTTTTTTCACTGTTCAACCGGGGCTCCTTACGCAGAATTTGTTTCTGTAAAACATGAAGATAGTATCTATTTTGTTCTGTAAAAATCATACCCACTTGTCATCTAAATGTAAGTAGCACCCTCTGTAAATGCAGATAATATTGCTATTTGCTTGAACAAGACAGAAACTGAATAGAATAATTCTGTATATTCCTGATTTTCCTTTACTACGTAAAAGTGTAACTTCAATAAAAATATTGTCGTTACAATTCTTTTTTTTTTTTTAATTTTTTTTTTTTCAGTTCCTTGTGCACCAGTAAACATATCAATTAAAGAGGATAAACCTGGTCACTTGCTGGTGTCATGGTCTAGCGTCAGTTTTGGTCATTATTATGTGGTTTTTGTGAAGAGTGATGATGGCTTGGAAGTGCACTGCAACACATCATATACTCAATGTTATTTCCAGTCAGACTGTGGCTTCACTTATTTCATTAGTGTCTTTGCATATAACAAGGCAGGGCAGAGTCCTTTAGGTGATGTATTCAATTACACTACTGGTAAGTAGCCACTTATTTTTGCAAAATAATTTGGATCCTTTAACTGTGTTTATGGACATTTTTATGGGAAGATACCGACTTAAACGTCTATTTTTATTCAGATTTTGGGCAAAACACACAAAGGTTGGCTGAAAAAAAGGAACACTTCCCGTTGCCATTAAATTTAACTTGTGTAGTCAAGTGCAACGTGCATACAAACTTGAAAATAGTTTAACAATTCACAATCATCAGTCAGGCAAGGACATATGAATAACTCGCAGCCCTGGTGTAACATTTGAACTCTAGTCCTGTTTAGTTCTTTTCTTTTACCTCAGGAATGGTGTGTCAAAATCTTAAACTTCCTCATAGAGAGTTTTCATACTTGGAAAATGAAAAAAAGATTAACCAGTTCAATGGGAAATTGAGAAGAATGTTGTTTGAATTATTTAACCTCTAGATGCTTTTAAAGCTTAAACCAAAGACATATGTAATTCCTACGTCTGACCTAAACACTAGGATGTCCTGTGTTGATTTTGGAAGGAGGGGCATTGAATTAATTCAGGAAATAAGTCTGGGATTCATGAGACTGTTTGCACAGTATTGGTCACCTTTGGAGATTTAAGACATGAAGCACATAGGTAAACGAAACAAGGCTCCTATTCATGCCAGTTTCCCATTCCCATTCGAGTTTCCCCCTCTGCCTCATCTGTTCCCAGCTCCTTGTTGCCCCAGCGACTTCAGGGCTGTGTTTGTGTCCAGCGACACCGTGCGGGTCACCTGGGCTCCTGTCCGAGGCGCCGACCTGTACGAGACCAGAGCTGCCGCCTGGAGCACGGTGGTGCTCTGCAATGACACGGCCCCGGCCTGCACCCTGTCAGCTCTGCAGTGCAACACCCGCTACCACATCACCGTTCATTCCTTCAGCGAGGCCAGGGGCAGCAACACCTCATGTGCGCCCAAGCACGTGGCAACAGGTACCGTGATCGCTCGTGTTTTCCTTTAGCAGGAGAAATAATTATTAGGCACTGCAGTGATTCATGGATGAAATGCATTACTGGAATGCTAACTTACTGTAACTGATAAAAATTAAAAAAAACAACCCTCCAAAACACGGAGTCTTTAAAAATTTACTGTAAGCAGGGACCTAAAAACAGATTTGGATTGAAAGCTTCTGACAGCTCCAATATTTTGAAAATCAGATTTACAGTTTATCTCTGGTTTTCTACACAAACTCTGTATGTTGTCAGCTCTGTCACAAGGTCTAAATTCTCACCAGGTGTAAGTATATAAGGATCATATACTTTTTCCAAGTAGTTTGCTAGTTCTAACTGGAAGTTAATTATCATGTCTAACTTACATAATATGTATAAACAATCTGTTTAAATACTGTTAATATGAAATATTTCAGCTCCCTGCAGTCCTGAAATTAAAAATGTCTCAAAGGAGGGTCTTTCTGTAATCAGTGTACAGTGGCAATCTAACAATGAAGACGCTACATATGTTGTCACTGCCAGAGGAGAGGCTGGACTTTGGCATTGCACAAGCACTGGAAGCTCCTGTACCTTAACTGATCTTCCCTGTGGATCTGCTTTCTCTGTCAGTGCTATAGCAAGATCACCAGCAGGACAGAGCTTACCAAGCTACAGTGTCCCTTTAGAGACAGGTATGTGGGAATTGTATGTTAGCAGCACAATATTAAAATAGTTCTATGACTCTTTATATGTCTTTGATTTTTTTTTTTAATTACAGTATGCGCATATTGTACTACCTGTTGCTGGATGCCCTTTGTGTGAATCTGTCTGTATCTTTGTGTGTGTGAGAATGATCACTTGGCAGTTGCCACATACTGAGAAGCCTTAGTGCAACCAATTATTTTGTGGCACAGCTAACTAGAATGCAATAACATAAGCCACTAATGTAATACATAACTTCTTTGTCAGCATTTTGATATTTAATATTACTAGGAGAAGCAATGAGATAATGTCCACATCAACAAATAAGCAGTGTAAAGAACAGATTAAAGCACATCCTACCCACCACTCCTGCTATTAATTTTCTAACAGTTTTGTCCTCTACCACTTAACCCAGACAATCCCCAGGCCCTGTACAGCAATTAATGTACACCAGGGTCTATTTTTAACAGGCAGTTTGGCTGCAGTCATCTTTTACAGTAGAGGAAGAGACTTTAAACAAAGACAGAGCTGGACTGAGCTATATGACTTGAGGGTTAGAGGTAGACCCTGCTTAATTATCACATGTACTCTGATACTCTGATGAAAAATTTTAGTAATTTTTCGAATCTTGGTGAATGATCATGTTGTAGTAATTCCAGTATTATAACCCACTGTTACAGACAAATTGATCTTGTATTGACAGTCTGTTTATTAGAAGCTTGCCAGCAATGTCAAGTATTTTTCAGCATGCTAGTGTTTGCCTGAGAAGTATGCACTTCTTCATTCCTTTGCTCTTGATCATGTACAACTCTGGCTGCAACCCAACAAAATACCTTCCAAACCAGAACTGACTTCTCTATTTTTTCTTTTCTTTAAGCTCCTTGTTGCCCTAACGACCTGATACTAACTCAAGTGACACAGTCTGTAACGAATATCAGCTGGTCTGCTGGGAAGGGTGCACAGACATATGTAACAACACTGGAGTCTCCAAAAGGACAGGCAAAGTGTCGCACTCTTCAGAACTACTGTCTCCTGGGATGTATCACATGTGGCACCAACTACACAATGTCTCTGAAAGCAATTAGTGAAACGGGTCTGACATCCAGTTGCACATATCAGGGATATTCTTCCAGTATGTAAATTGTAAATGCACTTGGGAAGAAAAAGACTCAGTATACTCAGTATACTTTGTATACTGTTGGTCTCATACAAATAGCACAACTGAAATTCAGTACATACTTAGTACACTTGCAGCTCCCTCTTCTAAATAAATGTACTTTGGATTATTTTCATATAATTTAAAACCTGTTCTTATGACAGCCATCAGGTGGCCATATAAAGAAGTTTTAATAACATTGCTCCAGAATCAATTTCTTAATTTAAATTATGCTATGGCATAATTAAATTTTAAAGACCTCAAAAGGATTCTGGGCACTTTAAGGTAGGCCTCGTGCCAGGTAAGAGCAACAATATTCCAACATGTAAAATGGCTGAATTCCAGCTCCATAATATGAGTCTGATAAAACATTTTCTTTCCTAGTTCAGTTCAAGAATTGTTTTGGCTTTCTGTGAAATAATAATTTCTCAGTGAAATGCTGATAATCATAGTAATTTGGTTTAAAATGCACTCTAGGAGTTCACAAAATTTGCTTATTAATGTTTCTCTCTTTATTAGGTGCTTGCTGCCCCTCTGGGGTGAAGCTATACAGACTGAGCAACAATGGCATCAGGGTGTTCTGGCGAGCCTCTGATGAAACAATAAACTACAGCACTGATTTACATGGTTCAAAAGGCAACTTCACCTGTACCCCCAGCACAGGTCGAAGTCACTGCGACATCACCGAGATACCCTGTGGGGATGTCTACACAGTAGTGGTAGCTCCACTTACTGATAAGGGTCTGAAGCTCACATTCTGTCCTAAAAAAATATACTCAGGTAAAATTTAAATTTCTTTGAATGATCTATTTTTGTCCATGCATTCTAGATGGTTAAAATATAATCCAAAGTTATGTAGGTATACGTAGCATGTTCTAGTGTTGACTACAGAGTAAACTTCATGGGTGCTGTCTTGCAATATCTGTGACAGGAACTTCACAGGAGCATTTTGGGACTGAGCATACTTATCTACACAGGTCCTCTTAACTCTGATCACCTGTATCTTGGTGAAGGTTAGGAGTGGTTACAATATAGGAACAAATAAATGAGCATTTTTTGGTTTGTTTTTGAATTTGGTTTATGGATGTTTTTTAAGTAAAGAAACAATTATTTCTATGAACCACTCCTAAGCACATTTTGAAGTAATAATTGTTTAAAGGGGTAGTAATTACCTTGGGATTCCTTTCCTAGGGCATGGATTTAATCCATTTTAAAAGTACTGGTATCTGATGGGATTGCACAGTTGTAGAGATGGACTACATACTACAGACTAATAATGTTTCACAGCTCAAAACCTGAGCTCACACCTCACACTTATACCACTGTTTCATGTCATTTCAGTAACCTGTTCTGGAAGCTCTCTTGGAATGGGTAAGAGCACATAGTACATTCATTACAAATTAATGAAGTTTGTAAAATATGTTCACATCGTTTAACTTCAAATAAGATGCATATAACATAAATTTGATCATCAAGGCTTCTGTTAGTATTATGCAGGTTTGTCTTACCCCCCATTTTATAATGTATAATTAAAAACCCCATAATCTTATCTATACTGTGGCCTGTATACCATCATGCATAGTCACAACACTTACTATTTATCAGATAGCACAAAATAAAAGGCAGGCTTATCTTTTATAGCCTCACCATATCCCATTACAAATTAAACGAGGTTGCAGTTCTGATTTTTATTTTTAAAAAGCTTAAAAAAATGTGGTTTACCTCAACTTATTCTACCTTATTTCTTCTGGGGTTTAAACAGGATAGCCTTGTGTTTTATTTGCCTATGTAAACTGCTAGAAACAACTTCAAAAGCAGCCACTGAAAAATTTCTCAAAACAGTTGCCTTTCCATAACTGAAATTGAATTTCCAAATTCTTTTCTAGTGATTTATAGAGGCAAGAGCAATGCAGAACACATCTAAATGAAAATTCTGGGTCAGATAAGGAGGTAAGTTACAAAAATTGCAGCTCATATTATGATGTATTAATCAAACTTTTCCTGCTGATTAAATCTTTGGGATTGGAGATAATCCATATTTACCTCCAAAAGCTCATGTTGTCTACTCCTACTATCAATACTGATTTGTTCTCCATTTGTAATAACCCTCTTTTGCTTCATTAAACCTTTTCTAATACTATCCTATAGTTCCCCATAAAAGCCTTCAAAATACAAACTGATCAAGATATTCTTTAGCACCCATTTACTTTCTCTCTTTGCCAGCTAAAATTGCTTACTCTTCAACACAATTACCAGTGTTCTGCACTCTTTACTGCTCCTGTCTCAAAGGAATGGTAAGAAATCACTGCTGATTTTTTTCCCCCCAAGGCTTATCATCTCCTTTTTGCTGCTATTTACCTACAGCTATCCTGGATGTTAAGGTTGTTGATAATACCATTCTCCCTAAATGCTCCTTTCAGTCTTTCTTTCCCTAAAGCTGGAAAGACAACATCTGTGCTTAATGGCAACATTCACAGCTGCTCAGGACTGGTAGGAGGGAAGCTGAACAGCTAGTCATATCTGAGATGTAATCCAGGACATCAAATTTGAGCCCCAGCTGACAAGATCATTTTTAAAATGCAGCTGAACACTTGATGGAGATGGCTCTAATCTTGAACTATCATTTTCTGTGCAAGCAATCACTTTTAAAAGTTCTTCCAAGAACCGTTATTAATCAGTAGGTGTGTTCCAGAACTAATGTACCAATGAAATAAGGCTGAAATAAAGATCAAGAGAGTGAAATTAAACTTCTTAAAAAAAGAAAACAAAGCAACAGCAGTTCAGGTAGAGCCACTCAAAAGTAGCTCGAGGCTTAATCGAGTGTTCCAAGGCTATTTCATTTTACTTCAAATTTTAAAAAAAGTTTCTTCCTTTACAGTTTTGAGAGGTGACTCATGAGGGGTAAACAGAATGTCCTCTTCACATCAACTGACTTGCTTTGCACTGTAGCTAACGAAGAACTGACAGATATTACTAAAATTTTAATTTCCCATTTTTCAGAAAAGGCAGGACCTTTTCTCATACTCCTCACTGGTTACTTTCTCAGCCAACACAGAAAATAAGTTCAAGGTCAACAGTTCTACAAACACATGTAATCTTACAAAAAGAGTCTTCAGAAACTCGAGTGTACAAAGGTAACCAAAGACAACAGGCATTTTTACACAGCTGTGTTAGGTATCTCAGTCACTGCTTCTGATCACCTGCACAAAATCATCTCACAGGACTCTCACCCTTCAATACATTGATTGTAGATGGCCCAAGAATTATATGTTGCTTCTTAAAACATCATCTACATTTAGTCATGGTCAAACAAGTCTTTCTTTAGAAAACGTTATTTGAAACTGCCCTGCATTAGCTAATAAACAGTTGGCAACTTTTCTCATTAATTGAAAAAAAATATTATTGCTAAAGGCTTTCTTCCTCAAAGGTTTTATTTAAATATTTCTTCTTTGGAAACATCCCTGTGAAACACTGCCACCAAGGCTTAAGTGTTTAACCAGGTTGCTATTAACTGGATTTTCAGAGGTCAAAAGCAATCAGTTTCTTTCAGAATCAAGTTCAGGCCCCAAATTTCTTCTTCTCGCATAAACAATTCTGGTAATTCCATGCTCTAACAGTAATTCTGATGTTTTTTAAACTGTTGGTGTATATTTTCTCAATTCTTCCTGGCATACAAACCTTAACATCTCAAAATTGCACACTACAAACAGGACAATGCTGTTTCATCAGCTCTCCTCACTTTTATAATTGAAAAGAAGCATAGGTGTAACAGAATGTATTATTTGCATGTCTGTTGGGGGGAAAAAAAAGGAAAAAGCTGAAGAGTAATGATGTTAAGAAAAAACACATTGATTCAGCTCAAAAAAAAATGGTTAGGAGATGTACACAATTAACCAAAACAGGGAGGAAAAGCAACATAACCAAACTGAGCCAGAGCCACACCTCCTGCTGTGGCTGCATATATCTTCCAGGCCTTGTTCCTCAGGCATTAGGCATTGTCTGATAGTAATTAACACTGCTGATATGTGAACTGGCACTGGCAATCACTCAGATGAGTAAAAAATTTTGGTGAGGATTAGTTGCAGGTTTTCTCCAGACTGAAGTAAATGCTTTTTTATGGGTCATGCTGACTTAATGGACAATGACATGTAGTGTTTTCATAGATGTAGTTTCTACACTACTTACTAGTATGAACCTCTGGTCTTTATGAAATAAAAAACCAGCACCAATAAATCCCCTCACCAAAGTGACAAAAAAAACCCTAACAGAAAGCCCCGAGCAACCCAACCCCATTAAGCTCTTGAAAGAAGAGATTTACAAACCAACAAGGTACATGGGCTTCATAGCAGTGCAAAAGGCTCAAACAGCAGCAGAAGTTCTCTCATTGCTTCGGGTTCCCTTTAAGGGTGGAATTTGTATACTGTACAAGACTAGAAACATTACTAATGCAGTACTTACCGTTGGAGCCACGGGAAATTTCAGAGACAGATGAGGCTTCCCAAGGGATAACTATCCCAGCTAGGTAACTATGGACATGTGGCATACTGTGGGAACTTTGGGTTCACAGTGCTTCAGTCGTTGTGCTTTTACCCTGAGAACTGAAGAGTGCACAGACTGTCAGAGAGCAGCTCCTGGGGTAACTCCCATGCCTCCAATTAAAACTGGCAGAAATTTTCTCCGAATGCCCTGAGCTGAATGCCCAGTGCAGCTGCACTGCAGCAACTGCAGCAGAGTGGGCAGCACCAGCACCTCCACTGAACTTACCACTGCTCACCAGAGCTGCTTTCACGCCCCAGTTCCTTTTGGTTTCAAGGAAGGTCATGTGAAATAAAATTATATCAGAAAGACAAAAAGGAACTAGAGGCCCTGGATCCAAACCCAAGAGCTGCACAATACTAAATCCCAAGGATAACTTAAGACAGGTGTCTTGTTGAAGTAATTTTCATGGGTCTTGGTTATGAATATTGTGCCATCCATTACACTGCTAACTCAAGTACATAATATGCATCATATTAAATCCAGAAGTCAAAAAGTACTATTTATTGGAAAATAAAAGCACAGTCCTCAAATTAGTGCACTTGTAAGAGGTACTGGCATGGGCTGGTCTTTTCACAAGCTGTACCAAAATGTTGACCATCTTTGTTGTAGTAAGACAGCCCTTCTCCACTTTCAGGTCAAAGACTGTGTTTCTCAAATACCTGTATTTTTCCCCGCAAATAAACCATTCTTTCACTGTATTTCCCAACAATGGCAGAGGAGGGGGAGCCCTGAAGGAACAATTGGAAATCAGTAATCCATTTTCCCTGACAGAACACTGGCCTTGCAGCCTCTCTGCCTAAGAGTGTACTTGCTTCAGAAACTGAAGGTTTTTAAAAACAAGGCCAAAAGAAGCCCCCTAGACACAAACAAGATAAAGTTGTCCTCACTGTTTTGACTTGGCAGACTGCAAAGACAGCTCTAATAATCTACTAGACAGGGTATTCCTTAAATGGCCAGTACAGTTTTTCTCCCATATTAAATGAGAGCTCAGTAGTTTAGTTTTACATTGCAAGGGAGTGACTTCGTTGAAGCTGAAGTTTTGTTTCAAGCTAAGATTTAAAATCAGGTAACACAAATATAAACAGACAATACCTCAACAACATCAGTATTAATTGATTACTAAGGATCACGATGACAAAGGAACTGTTTCTGAACTGATAGTTCAGAAAAAAATTAGAGCAGGGAGGAAGAAAAAATGAAGTTTGCTCCTTGGAACACTATAGAATGAAGTGTACTGTTAGAAGTTGAAACACTGTTTTCTCCTGGATGTTAAAAAAAAAAAAGCCTAGATGACCTGCATCACACAGAAGCAAAAAGGCACAATTATCAATTTATTTCTACCTTCTACCTTCAGGTCACTTCATCATCATGAGTCACACTTCATGTTCTTCCTGTTTTGGGGCTGCAGCATTTCTTTGTTTGCTACATGTCCCACATAAAGTACTTATTACATAAAATCCCTTATTCATACAAAATGTCACTTGATCTGAAAAAGAAATGTGGAGGAACCGAAACACTCTTCAACTGGCAATGAACATGCAGGGGAAAGCTGACACTCAATACAAAGGAATTAATTGAGAGTTTATTCCAGATGGTTCTCCTCACTTAGTATACAAGTCATCAGAATAATCTATCAAATAGACTTGGACTGTAATGATATTATTTTTCTTCTATAATCCATTTTGGTTTTTGCTTCTAACAACCTGTTTTAAAAAAAAATCTGCCAGATGAAATGTTCAGCATGAACTGCGATCCTTACTATTTGTAGAAAATATGACTTAAAAAAGGACACTGTTATTTAGTTCATATTTTAAATGTTTAGACTTATAAAAATGCTTTGGAAGCTTGAAACTGAAATCCTTTGTAACATTTTTCTTCTTCCTACCTCCCTCTTCCCATCTTAAATGCCTTTATTAGCCCAGGATTATCATAAATGACAGAGTGCAGCTGATGATTGAAAAAAAAAAAAAAATTAAAAGACCACAAATGGATAAATTGTGCTTAAAAAAAAAAGGAAGCTTACATGGATTTTTTTCAAACAAATAAAATGCATAGATGGCTACGGTACTCATCTGTCAACCTTTACAGTGTCCGCTTGAGGTAGCCTTTCTACAGAATTACTAAACAAGCCCCAACATCATCTAAATCCTTGCATCAAAACCACTATCTCTTTGAAAGTCCACTAATTTAACACCACTGGTGATCAACATAATACAAAGCTTTGAAGAAAACAGCAGGTACAGTGGACATAAATGTTAGTTCTAAATCTGCAGCCCTCAATGTACATTGTATGCACATAAATATCTCAGCTATAGTACACATTCCAAATCCATCCCTAAAAGCCATACTATTACATAAAGCACAGCCATGCTAACTTCAGGATACAAACCATAATTCCACGTCTACAAAAGGGAAGTATAATTAGTGGCAGTTTATTGCCTCATACAAATTTAACCAACATGGCAACTGTGCCAAAGGAATTAAAACATTTTCAGGACATATGTACAGACTGTACATTTCAGAAACATCTGAACAATAAAAATGCAAAAACAATCTCTGCATTACAAATTAAACTAAACAAATGGTTTGAAACCGTCAATGCATTGAATGGGTTTACAAAGGCACTTCCCTACCCAAAATAGGAAATGACAATCTGCAGCCTAGAGGGAGGTTGGAGAAGAGTGCTCATCAACTACTGCACAATCTCAACTTTAAGAAAAAATAAGCAGGATTTAATCAAACATTTATAGGATTCAATGTGATCCACTTCTGAAAGAATTCACAGAGTCTCATCTTTGATTTTCTCTTGCTTTTCCTGGTTCTCTCGTTCTGTACTTTGGCTCCTTCGGCGATCGGGTTTGTCAGAATGGTCCTTGCTATCACTGTGATCGTGTTTGTGGGAACGTTCTTTGCTTCTGCTACGCTTCCTGGATTTTTCTTTGCTGGGACTCTGATCTCGTTTTCTGGACTTCTCAACACTATCTGTTCTTCCTCTGCTTCTGCTTCTACTTCGTTTATTCGACTTCTCCTTACTTTCATTTTTATGTTTACTTGATTTTTCTTTGCTCCTGCTTCTGCTGCGCTTACCTGTGTTCCTACTGCGGCTCCTACTCCTATGCTTTCTTTCCCGGCTTCGACTTCTACTATGTTTTCTCTCTTTTTTGGACTCCCTCTTGTCATCCCGGTGTTTCTTCTCATCCTTGTCATCCTTGTGTCTTCTCTCTTCTGTATCACTCTTACTTTTTCTTTCTTTTGACCTTTCTCTAGATCGATCTTTTTCCCTCTCACTACCTCTTTCCTTATCATAATCTCTCTCTTTTTTTCGACTCCGTTCATTTTCTTTTTCTCGCTCCCTATCCCTGTCTCTTCTATCTCCTTTCCTGTCACGACTTCGACTACGGCTTCTGTATCTGTCCCTGCTCCTGCTTCGCCTCCGTTCCAGTGCACGATCAGTACTTCGAGATCTCCGCCTTTCTTTTTCTCTCTCCTTTGCTTCACGTTCTAATCTCTGCCGTTCTCTTTCTCTTTCTAGTTCTCTGTCAAAACTAGATGATCCATGGCCTTCCCGATGGTGACTTCTGCTTCTGGATCTTCTGGGAGACCTCCGGGGACTGATCGATCTTGGTCTTGGAGACCTTTTAAAAAAGAAGATATTCAGTGTGAAACACATTTTTCAAGTTAAGAGACCATCTTTCCTTTTCAATTTATACTTTACGTACACAGTCTGTTTTTCATCTTAAATACCAAATATCATGTGATGATTTTAATCCATTAGCATCCATAAACTGTTTTGCCTGTTGCCTTAAAACCCAACCCAGTGAAAAGACAAGATGTTGCTGGTAATAAGTTGTTCAATATTAAACTTTTAACATTAAAAATAATGTGTATATGACCTTGAACGTCTACGTTCTGCATGCCGTTCGATTTCTTCCATTCCCTCCTTGCCCTCTTTCTTGATTTTTCTAGGTCTGCTTTTAATTTGCTGGTCAATAGCTTTCTGGACTGGCACAGGAATTCTTGGAAACAAGGTGGAAAACCATTCAAGCTTTGTGAGGAAGGAACGAAGCATCTCCCCAATGGTCATAACGCAACCCCCACCTGCCTTCACATCCAGGTCCTGTAAAATACAAGCAAAAAATATCCTGATGGTCAAAAATATTCTTTACCGATTAAAAAAAAAATGTTTCTACATTACTGTCCTATTGAAGTCTCATGATTATGAAAGTTTACTTGTCTCATATTCTAATACATTTCCTTAGAAAAAATTCAAACTCTGCACCCTTTGGATTTGGCAGTATGTTACAGACAGGGAATGGGACTTAATATATATGCATGCAGGCACACACTAATCCTGCAGCCATCTGGATGGTAAGGGACTGTCGATGAAGAGATTAACGCAAAATCCCCTTACACAGTCTGGTTATGTGGTATGATCTTGTATTTTATTTCAATGCCAAAATGTTGAGAAGTCCTTTGAAAGTACATTTAATACTCCATTTTGTGGATGTACAACTGTGTACCATCATGCCCAACCCTGTGGCCTAAATCATTTATGAACTACATCATTGCCTATCTAAAAATGATCATAGAAAAACCTCTAGTACAAAATGGCATCCTAACAGAATTGGAAGCAATAGCAAACCAACTGCCATGAAGCAGTGAGGTTTCTAATTTAGAAATATGTAAAAAAATAAATAAATGAACAAATAATTGGAAACGCATAATCCATGATGACCATTGTCTCTGAAAAGGGTCATTACCGCATGAAGGCCTTCTTGCTATGCCCTCTCACAGCTCAGGACATGTTAGTCAGCTATTGTCAGTCCCAAACCTATAGTGCAAGCACACAAGGAAAGTGAGATTTGTTATCTAAACAGGAAGAGAAAATCTAAACGTAAAACTGCTTGCACTCACACACATTTAAGTGTTCAGATATACAGTTTTTCCAAATATAATCGCTGCAGAGATCTAAAGAAGAAAAAAAGGAGTTAAACGTAGCACCTGGAGAGTACGTACAGTTAAACAAAATAAACATAAGAAGCATTTTGAAAGGTAACTCTGTATCCTGGGAAGTTTTTCACAGCAGCATGACAAAAGATGAACTGCTTCCACATATTTAAGAACTGGAGGGGGAAAAAAATCCTGTAGGTTTAAATAATTCCATATATAAAAATTTGCTTCATCCTATAGAGTTTGACCAGGACTGGTAAGAAACTTAAGCAGCCCCAAGCACGTAACACAAAGCTACTGATAGCAGCTGGGAAACAAACACTAATTCCAAAAATATACTGGGAGATTTTAAACAAGAAACAAATACAACTTGATAACCAATACCTGCAAGAACTAAAATGTATAAATAAAAAATATCCTTTGTATAATGAACCAGTTAAGACTTGCACAATGCAATGCACTTGTGATCACTTTATTGTTCTTTAAGTCTACATTGAGTTTACGAGACCCTGAGAATGAAGCCACCCCAATTCTTCTCATAAATTAGAGTCCAGCATTGCAGAGGAGAGTTCATATTAACTACCCCACCTGGGGGAGAAGGAGGAGATCACAGAGATGCAATCAAGGTTCAAATTTGTTTTGATTTTTGTTAAAAATGTAGAATAGCACAGGTTTACCTGAAATAATAGCTGTTTCCTTTGCACAGTGTTTTTGATACTTAGCATGAAAGAAGTTGTTCACTGCAGTCAGATACAGGTATAATTAACACTATTTTTATTACAAATATCGGGACATCATTTGCAACTACAGCATTTGGAATTTCTTGAAGTAGATGTATACTGTCACACTGAAGAGGGCAGATGATCCTTCCTGTTCCATTCTTAAATCTAAGATGTAACTTAAAAACCTGCTCAATAAATACAAATTGCAGCAGTACGTAGCAGACTGTGTATTCAAGTTCATAGCCCAAGAAGCGTCACCCACCAACTCCCTACTCTGTTTCCCCAAACAATAAATCAGGACTAGGATACCAAAGGTATTCTCCCACCTGACTGCATAATAATGCAGCCTCTGCACTGGATTTCAGTGAGCAAATCATCTTCTTTATTTGTCCCCAAAGACATTAACAATGGAACCTTATGCCATAATCAGGCTGTTTGCTTCTCCTCTGGAGAAATCCTGGGTTTAGTTATTCCAGGACATGAATAATAACCACTGAGATTTTTGGCAGTATTTTCCAAGGTGAATGTTGGTTTCTACTATACACTTCCCGCTCTTTTAAGTCAGCATCAATTCTCCTATCCCAGTAATAAATAGATAATATAAATTTAGCATTCTCGTGACGTACTACACCTTCCTTTTAAGATAAGACTTTGAAAAATGTACAGAAGCCACACACAGCCTGCTGTCTGAATTCTGATTTAGTACACCTGTTTCACATGGCTTTGTAAATCTGACACAGTAACACATACTAACCAGCGAAAAATTCTGTTAGATCTTTGACATTTAAGAAAAATAACCCATGTCCGAGCTCAAACCTGCTTCCTGCACTAATTAATAAAATTAAACAACAGAACGTTACAACAGCCAAACTACAGAAAACCTTATGAAACAATGTTTAAACCTAAAGTAGGAACATGAAAAGAAACAAAAGAAAACAAATTATTACCCTCGCCGACATACCTCTTCGTCATCAAGAAAGGATTCAAACCAATCCCATAGATCTGTAGGTGGTTGTGTGTACCTTCAAGTACAAAAAAAATGTAAAATTTTAATACAGCTTTCTGCATATTAAAACAGTCGTTAGTTGATAACAGTGATACTTACCTAATATACATAAATCCAAGAGCCCTAATATATGGAGAGTCTGTATGAGTTATAAGGCCCATCACTTGCTTACGAGTGAGTTTCAGGGTAAATAATTTGTAGAGCAGACAAAAGGCAGTGGACACAATTCCTCCAGTTCCAACACCACGCACCTTTCAAAAGCAAAAAGGTAGGTGAGGATGCACGAAGTCAAAGACATTATCCCAAATCTTCAAAAGAATGTGAGAACTAACACATAATTAAATCTACAAACAAAGCTATGTGGAAAAAGTAACGCTACCTGCATCCACAGCTTTGGAAGCAAGAGGAATATATCTACTCTTTGTAATAAATACTTTTACATCCAGAGACTGATGTCAACATACCAGCAAGTTTGAACTATGCTTGGGAAAGTTCTTTACCAGACAGAAAAATTTAAGAAGGCACGTACTTCTACTTACCCCTCCACACATCCCTGTCTGGCCTGCGGTTTTCCTGCTGCCCTTCTCCCATGGTTCAACATGTGTAACCTGAAAGGGAGGTGGGGGACAGGAGAAAGTAAATTACAATTGCAACCTCCATAATGTTTAGGTGCTTGTACAAACCTGATTTAAACAATGGACATCATAAACCAATCTTAAAAGTTTGTCTTCTATGAAATTCAAGATCAAGTCTGCTTTGTCATTAAAGCAAAGCATCCTGCTTTTTAAACTACATTAAGAAATTAAAGCCAAAATCATGACTGAAGTTTAAAACAAACAAATCCCAAAACACCAAAGGAAGCATCCATGCTTATTCTATACTCCACGTACTTTCAAATGCTTTATGATTAAAGCCCATCATTAAAGTTTTCTTGGGTGACTAAACAACTGCCTTTATTTAAACTGTTTAGTGATATCTGCTGCTGAGAGCTACAGAAGTCAAAATATAGCGTCTCACATTCATGAGTCTCACTTAAGCAGTGAGCTTAGCCAGAGATTTCTTTTTGCTATCACCTACAGTTAGGACAAAAGAATGAAGTTTATAAAGTGTAGTATTTTAATAAAAAAAGTCAGTGTTTTTTCTTGTAGGCTGCAGTGATGTTCTTAGGTAAAATGGTTCCTAAGTACTAACGAGTAAATTTGCTCACTTCAAATCTTGTGAGACACATTTAGAGAAGAGTGCACACACACAGTTAACCAACACCATTTCTAAAACTTGACAATAAGAGTCATAAACAAGTTCAGAACCACAAAACTGCCTGTGCTGCCTTTGAAAT